GGCATCATATCTGTTTCATTGAAGATGAAGAACCTATAAGAAAGATCTCAAAATTACAAAATATCTCAGATCAGATTATTGTCCACAACTACTTAGAGCAATGAAGCTATGTCTCCATATCTATTCTCAAATACCTCTTACCTTATTTTACTCATGCATTTCTAAAAATTGTTTAAGTCAGCCAGGTCATTCTATTAGAGATTGAGATAAATCCTCTCGAGCAATGATAAGATAAACCTTCAGGCAAGCAATTACTCTATTTTTTTAACCTACCTTTGACTTAATTTTCAGTTGGTGAGAAGATTCATAATGAATTGATGCAGACTTTGATTGCATTTGGCTTTCCATAAATATAACCATGAGATTTGGTTTATCAATAATTGATGTGTGGCAAGTATTTCCTATATGAGAATAATGCAAATGCATAAAGTTAAACATGAAAAATTATGGCAAAAAATAAATAAATGGGCAATATGATAATGAATCAAATGCATAAAGTCAGACAAATAAAATGGTTAGATAATCAATATATCACACAAACTATTCCTTCTTGTGTCTTAATTTAGGTTACATCTATCAACAGGTAGGAATGACTCTATCTTAAAGCTAGCCTCTTAAATGTGGATTATATGCAGAGCTAGATGATTTTAACTACTAAAGGTTCTCAAATTATTCCTTATATCATTACCCATCACAGACTAGTAAGGCATTCCAATTCTTACCCATCACAGCCTACCAACAAAAATGATTTAATTTGAGTGGGACTATTTCACTAGCCATTGTTGAAATTATCATCTCACGAGACCATAGGTACTTTACTCCTTCCTAAAAGGGACAAAGTCTAGGTAAAAAGCTCATATAATGCAAATACATGTGATAATCCATGTAAAGGAACATATATAGTTTCAACCCTAATTTTTTGTAAATAAAAAAAAGATGAAAAAAGATAAAAGAGAAAGTGTTGCTAAGCAAATGACATAATTATTACAATTTAAGACCATTATGTAATAATTTGAGTTAAATTTAGAGAAAATCATCACCTAAAGATTTCTTAAAAAATTTATCATTTGAAATTTTTAAAAATCTCATCATTGATAATTATTAATTCAATCCCAAAAATTTTATTAAATTTTCTTATGTATTTTTTATTTTTTTAAAATTAAAAATAAATATTAATTAATGTTATTAAAACTTTATCTAAATTTTTTTCTATTTGAGTCGAATTTAAAGAAAATTTCTCACATAAAAATTTTCTAAAAATTAACCATTTGTAATTTTTAAAAATTTCATCATTAGATAAATATTATTTATTCTAAAAGTTTATTAACATTTTATTTTTATATTTTTTATAATTATTTTTCTCTAATTTTTTGTAAAATTTAATCATGCAAAGTATTTAAAAAAAATAAAATAATAACATAAAACAAAATTTAAAAAATAAAAATAAATACCAAAATAAAAGAACCAGTTCGGCTCAGCTATAGCACTAGCTGGACTGCAAAGTTGATGGGCGACTGAAGCGACTAAACTAAAGCTTTGTTTAACTTCTTCACGGCTTAGCAACAAGCAGCTAGATCGAGTCACAAGTTCAGGTTGCACACAAGCATGGGTCGAGCAAAAAAAAAACACAAAGATCTTGTGAAAAATTAAATGCCAAAATGACATTATTTGGGAGATGTATAAAAGCCCTTCAAAAACCTTTTTCCCTTAGATTTCTTCTTTTTCTTCTCTCTCCTCTCACAGCTTCTCTATCTAGGCAATTCCTGGTCACCAATTTCTACTAATGCTTAGTTGAAAAGTTCACCAATTTCTAGAAAAGACCCACCAAAGTTTGGAAATGATGTCGAAAATTGGGGAAATCACAAGAATAGTCGTTGGATAATGCAAGCTTCGTAAAAAAATTTAAATAGATTTTGGAAATTCCTAAAATTTTCCAAAAATTCATCAAAACCTTAAAAATTCCCAAATCAAATTTTCTACCTTCTAGAATTGTCCAACAATGCCAAATCCAACTTTCACAATCCCAAAAAAAAAAAAAGAAAAAACTCCAAATTACTTTTCTACCAAAAAATTCTCTCGATTTTTTTGTTGCTTTTGTGCTTTATCTATTTTTTGCTGTTTATAATTTATGTGTCCTCTTTTCCTCTAATTGCTGTTGTGTTATAGGAAAGAGTCCAAATCCAATCAGTGTTTCATTCAAATTTAGATTTTTTTGAAAAATAAAAGTTTTATCTTATCACAAGAGAAATCGTTTTTATCCTAAGAAAATTTTTAGTTAAATTTCAAAATTAACATGAATTATCATAAAAAATTCAATCATCCCATCACCGGTTACTCTCCTACAATCCTATCATAGCCCTTTGATTTTGTCTTTGTTATTTGTTTATTTATTTAAAAAAAAAACTAATTAGATAACTTGAAAACTAAAGATACATTAATAAAATCAAAGACAAATCAATAAAAATCAGACAAAATTAAATTAAAAAAATAACTAATAATAAATAATAATTGAATAATCAACATTAAATATATACAAATGACTAAAGATAAAATCTATGATAAAATTAAAAAAATAAACAAATAAACAAATAAATATAAATAAATATATAAAAATAAAATGAGTAATTAAGCTTGGATTAATTTAGACCTAATTGATTTGACCCAATTGATTTGAGTCGGTTTACATTCAATTAATTTAAATCCAAACCAAATAGAATGTCTATAACTCTCACATAAAAATATATGATCCAACAACTATGGTAATGGCATTGAATATGGTGCAAATATGTCGCCGTATGTGTTGGTGGCAGACTAAGGTAATCGATGGAAATGAAATGAAGAAATTTTTAGGCAAGACACTACCAGCAAGCTATCAAGGATAATAGCTTGAACTACGATGCAAACGAACTCTAATAAACATTATTCACATAATAAAATACTTAAATTAAAGAAGAATATGCTTGCACTTTAAGTTCTTTTTAACTTGAACCAAAACCAGAAAAAAGAAAATAATAGAGAATGATTTGAATTCTGCAAGAGATTGAATGTAAAGTAGTTTTAAATTAATGTTAATTGAAGTATTGCCCAATCATACATTTCCATAAATCAACACCTCTTAGATCAAAATCATCACTTTTGGAATAAAGCATCATATTCAATAGAAAGACTTTTTATTTTCCAAAAAGGACATTCTACTGCTTCAAGCAAATTTTTACACAGAATGTAAAATTCTACAAAGAAGTCGACTACCCTCATTACAGAACATCCGACTGCTCTAAGCTTCTTTTCAGAAAAAATGTAAATTCCTTCAGGGTATTCGACTACTTTAGGCAAATTAAATACAGAATGAAATTTTCATAAGGAAATCGATACTCTTCTTGAGCATTCGACTGTCCTTGACAAAATTTCAAACAGACAATGTGATAAACTCGAGTGATCGACTGCCAAAGACAATCGGCTACATACCTCCAAAGACAGTCCGCTACACATACTTATTTTTTACCAAAAATTGACCCAAAAGGCAGTGGCCCAATTTGTTCAATTGAGAGAGCGCAGTCCGATTGCTCTTGCCTAACAGTTGATAGGTCAGTCAATTTCTCTTGTCTAATTTTATTCCAAGACTATTTTTATACTTCTAAACTTTATTTTTTAAAACACAAATGCATATACTACACAAATATCATGATGACGACTTGATGTTTGGGGGGTTCAATGATCCTAAAACCTTAAGAATGTTTTGTAGGTCCATTTTAGGATGTTGGATGCATTATTGCCTTTAAGAGAAAATCCCAGATGAATATCATGGCCGAACTCAGGTTCATCATGCTTTATGTCCCAGTTTGTCTTTCTCATTCTTCTTCTAATGTTATGGAATCTATATTTTGACTAAATAGAACTTATTCCAGGTCATTCTATGCAATGACTGATCAGAAAAATGGAACTGCTCCCTTCCATTGGCTATATATCACAATGCCCAAACTCTGGCTCATATAACACCATACTTCAATGATTCTGTTAGTATAGAGGAAGTTGAGGTTGATGAAAGTACTTGAGTGTCGCCATACTAGTTTTGATGGCAATTTTGTTGCCTATTTTCGTTTTAGCCCTACCCCATGATAGTATCTAGTGCCTTCTTTCCGCTTGTTGTATATCCATTTGAAAATTCTACCACCCTCGCATATTCTAAATAAAACCAAAGAAACTGATATTCTTGCTATGGAACTGTTTATTCAAGTGATATTTTCAATCAACTGTATTTATTCAAAGATTCTGTTATAAATGTACCCTACACTATCGTAATGGGACATGATGTCTTCTGTTCTATAAATCATCAAAGTAATAATTCTTAAGCATCTCAAGCAAAATCAATTGTGTGTAGAGATTTAAGTTGAATACAAAAGTACAAAAATCCAATATTTAACAGCATAACATAATATCATTTTAACAAGTCTTATCACGTGTAGAAGAAGACAAAAACCCATCACATGACAAACTTGAAAGAGATAATAGACCGGAGTACTAATAGTTAAGAACAACATTATAAATTTGAGTTCTAATATCATATTAAATATTTAATTTAAAACTAATTAACTATATATGAAAAGATTTAATTTGAATATAAAACTACAAAAAACTTAATATTTAACAGATATAGGATGACACCATTTGTTATTAAATTAATTTTTTGATTGGGGACGTAAATGATTATATGTTTCTAATGCCATGACCTTGCAAAGGTGTTCATTTAATAAGCAATTATTGGGAAGTTTCTAAACTTTTTTTAAAAAAAAAAAAGGAATCGTATAAAAAGGATTCATTAAAGACAAGAAATTAACTCTTATTTGAGCAGTGTGAATACGGAATATAAAATCTCAACGCTATAAAGCAAAAGAAAAAAAGGTCAAAATTGTGGAATGTACTATATATAAGATCTAATTAAGGGGAAAAAATAAAAGAATGGAAGTTGCAGTACTAGGCGTTTTCTGGCTGCTGATAATTGATCAGTTGACACTCGTGAGACTGAAGCAAGCAGCAGCACTCTTCAATTCATTCTCTGCAACATGCTCCATTAATTGTGTCGTGTCTTTTGGAGATTCTTCAGAGCTGCAGCGTTGAAATTCACACCATCAATCGTTGAATCACAAACTAATTATGTAGAAATATTTTTTTTATTTGAGTTCGAGGGAACTTATCATCCATCAATTGTTAATATGAGAGTTAATTAGAAACATATATTAATTACCTGGAGTCGTAAGCCTCTTTGGAATCAATATAAGATTGTCTGTCATCGATGGTATCAAAGAAGGGATGAATTTCATCGTAATCTTGGACAACTTCTTGTTGTACAGCTAGTGGCTGTGAGTTGGGAACCAGCAGCTGAGATTGAATCGCCATTGGGCTGCCATTACTATTGCTGCTGTTATTGTTTGTGGCAAGAAACGGGTGTTGAATCCACAAAGAATTATTTCCCACATTCTCCTTAGAATCCACGTAAGAAGAGCTATAACCAATATTATTGCTAGTAGAGTAAGAGTGTTGCATTGAAACCTGCACATTTGACACGGTGGTGTAAGGCTGATGAGGAACTTGATTGAAGAGAGGGAGGGCATTGGTAGGCGGTGCCATGCCTAGTTCTAGCTGTGAAGGCACGTCGTCAGGCATGGAAGAAATCTGATGCTGTTGGTGATGATGTTGCCTGTACATCTCAAGCTGTGCAAGAACTGCATAAAATTCTTCTTCAAGCAGCTGAATTTGATAATAAAGCTGACGAATGACCCCCAAACATCCATGGACAGGAAACCTGTCTCGAACATTGGCTTGGTATTTGATAGAACGCATGGCCTCAGCATGTTGAGCAGGATCTAAACTCCTTAATATCTTGACAATGTTGCTCACACCAAATAATTTGTGAGCATTCTGGAAAACTTTGGTTTGGTCAGATGGGAAATAAGGAGCAAGAAGACATTCAGGGATGCACTTTCGCCTTTGATACTTGCACGCAGCACAGGCACTGGTGGTGCCACCCTTAAGGGTCATGATTGCATATCTACCAGTATAAAAATGGTCAGAGTCAGACGAGAAGAAGAAGAAGAAGAAGAAGCATTTTGGTGAAAATAAAAATTAGAAAGGAAATGTGATGAAATGGTAGGAAGAGAGAGAGAGAGAGAGAGAGGGGATTGTTGAAACTGAAATGGGTAGCATATTTTGAGCTGAACAGGTCTGATATCAGCGGATTTGCTGGATGTAAAAAAGACTGAGTAAAGGAGAGAGATAGAAGAGAAAAGCGGATTTTTTGGGGAAGTTTTTTTCCTTCGAAGTGTGAGATGGTTAGGGACAAATATTGGAAATCCAGGAGAGTTCTAATTTCAAGGGGCTGTCTATGGATCAACCATCGTACCAACCTCTATGTTTCTATCGTACTTTTAAACCCTGTTGGCTGTTTGCATCCTAAGTTTCGGAGCTTTAATTCAATTTTCTGGTTGCTCACCAAGCCATTTTTCCTTGTTTTGTTAATGCTCACCAAGCCAAGTTTCATAATATATATTTGATTGGTATAACATTATAAGTATAACTGATTAATCTCTCTATTCAAAGCCCTTAATTTCGATCACCTTATTTTATTTATTCAGATGTATCAAATTAATTTTGATCTATAATTATAATAATATTGTAAAAAAAATTATTATTTGACATGAAATAAATATGATATGAAATTGATATATGAATTTTTACTTATTTTATAATAAAATAAATTTTTTTAAAGATAAATTACACATACACTTTCATACACCTTCTATGATTTTATAATTTTCCCACTTGCACTCTTACGAAAAAATATTTTCTTACTTATAATCTTATAATTTACTTTCATTATTAGGAAGTAATGGTGTCAAAAATCAATTAGATTTTAATAAAATTATAAATATCCTCATTATTATTTTTAAAACTGTTACTCTCTTATAATAGAAGTAAATCCCAGAATTATAAACCGAAAAAACTATTTAAAAAATATAAATAAGAAAATCACAAATCACAAGAGGTATATATGGAGTTTATTATATTTTTTATTGATATTAAAAATAAAAATAAAAATAATATTTAATTAAAAATAATTTATTTTTAAATTTCATAAAAACAAAAAAAAATTTTCAAAAACTTTGCTCATTATAATAAATGATTTCTCTTCATGACGTTATTAATTATCCTTAATTTAACATCAATACTATATGTCAAAATATAAAGTAAAAATAGTGAATCACATATATATTATGCCTTTGACAATTTATTAAATTAATTATGTTGTTCTTTATTAATTAATATGTTTTTTATTAATAAAATCCTTATTAAGTAAACTTTTCTTAGTAGATACTTTTTAATTGAATAAAATATATTAATTATTTTTATTTCTTGATCAACTTTAAAGATACAAATAGTGAATCACATATATATTTTTTATAATTTATTAAATTAACTATATGACTCTTCATTAATATACTTTTTATTAATAAAATCCTTATTAATATACTTTCTATTAAATTAAATATTAACTAATTTTATTTATTTATTAACTTTAAAATTCTTAACAAAGTAAAACTTCCCTAATTGATAATTTTTTATTATATTAAATTTTATCTAATTTATTTTTATTAAAAATAGTTATTCAAATCTTAAAATTTTTCCATCTTCTCTCCCATGTACAACATTACTAACTAAAATCTGTTGTATAAAAAAATTTATTTATGCCAAGTATAAATGCGTTGGAATTAGCCCTTTCAGCATTTGAATTCCATTTCCGAAACATACAAAAAGAATGATACGAGCATCTGCAATACCAACTCTCATAGAGCATTGATATAATTTCTAGGAATTAATCTTAAATTATAATAAAATATTCAAAATAATAATTGAACATTTTAAAAATCTTTAATATAATACTTAAAACTATAAATTTGTTAAGTGATACTCATCATTATCGTGCTAACTTAAAATGAAAAACAAATTACTCTTAGTTAACAAAATTATATTTCAAGTATTATATTAAAAATTTTTAATTCTCAATTATCACATTATTAAACATTTTACACTAGTTTAGTGACCTAGCCATTTCCACATTACAAAAATGAGAGCGCCGATGCCGATGCCATTGCATGCAATTTTTTAACATCCACAGACAAATGTCATTGAATGCGAATGGAAACAGCCAACAGGGAGGGAAATTTGGATTGGGAAGAGTAGATAAAGAGTAGCAAGTAATGAAGAATGACAATTTTTGGTTTTAAACCGACAAAAAAATGGCATAAATTCACTATGTAAACCCCATCAGCATCAGGATGACAACAAAATTTTTCTTCAAAAGCTGGAATATCAAGAGTTGAAGAACTAGGGGTCCTGATTGATCCATACATAACCTATTTAGAATAATGGGGGAAATAATCTTGGAAAGAAAGGAAGAAAAACATCTAGCACAGTTTCTGAATCTAGTAACTTCCCCACTAAAAATTGTTGTATCCTCCTGCCAATGTTCGTTGCAGCATTAAATTCTCCGTCAATGCATTCATGGCCAGCCAATCATATAATTTTTCTGTTTTTTTCCCCCTCAACCAAAGCTACATTATTGGGAAGTTCCAAGAAGAAAAAGTACTGGAGGCAGGAGTACCAAAAAACTAACTTCATGCTCTTCCATTATCCAATTTCCTCAGTTGTAAAGAAAATCTCTTTGTTATCATTTCTTCCCTCAAAAAGACCACTTTCTCCTACATAAGCTCATTGTATCCCAAGCTCTTCCTTTTTATTCACATCCGTGGATTTTCTAACAAAGGAACCAACCATCTCAAACTTCCTTTGGAATCAATTTTTGCATGGTTTTACCGTATAAACTGCGTGGTTGTGAGTTGCAATGTGACTATGAACAACAACTCACTAGAGACAGCAATCAGATGCCAAACCCGTGTTAAGCCCAATGCTATCTGTTGTATTAAATAATATGACAGGATTCAATTAAAATTTTTAATTTACGGCTTCGAAGAAAAGAACCTGTGGTTGCAAGTGGCCCCGCTCACACATTGTAAGAACATCAGCCCAGCCACCAATTACCTGGACATCAAAATTCAGTTTGAAATACCAAGAATAAGGGAATACACTGGATGACATACTTCACAATAGAACACATACTTACCTTGACAGTTTTGTCATCATACATAATCCATCTTTCATGATCGTGACTATAGGCAAAACAATGATAATGTTGCCCATAATAGCAAACCTGAGAGTTTCAGAAAAATATGAAAAAAACAACAAAATCAAACCTTACAAACAATGTGCAATAATCACCTCTTTCTGCATTTTAAATTTTGAATTCAAAAATAAAACTCAAACAAATGCAGAGAGAAAGAGACAGATTGCACATACGTACCACTGACATTAAGTTATGCTTATTTTTTGGATCTAGACCATGATAAAGGACACTAATATCTATTTCAGTATTTAAGGCAGCCAGTGTCGCTGCTATGTCATCAGCACTTTCACATGTATTCTGCCAACCTAGAACTGCAAGACCAAAAAGGATAATGATTTTAAAAGTATAAACCACTGAGTGTCTAAGAATAAATTCATTTAACTTCAAGTACAACCTGTAGTGAAAACATGTGGTGGATTTGAGAGAATGTGATGGATAGAGTTGAACTTCCCACAGCCACCAGCCTCTGAATCACAAGCTAATTGATGGTTCATCTCCACAAAATTTAAAAGCTCATCAAAGGAGCTTTCTGCACACATCACCTGAATGGTAAAGAAAAGTTTGTTAGTAAGAACCAAGAAAAAGAAACTGTTCAACAGGAATTCTAGAAAAAAAAAAATTTTTTCCCAATGGACAAATACCTTCATTGTTCGCAGTGCACTGGCATTTATATTATGAAAGAAAGTAGTGTATTTCAAATGTCTGGACTCCAGACCACAACTGTAGCAATTCATTCGCTCAAAGATATCCATTCCAAAAAGAGAATGCACCATACAAGCACTTTTTGCACAATCCCAAGAGCCTGTGCAGTTGCTGTCCATAGAATCAGCATCAGAAACACTCGAACCAGAAGTAAAAGACTGATGAAGGCAATCAAATATTACAGCCAATACTTCAGAAGCATCGTTCATCTGAGCCTGCAAATTACTACTATTTTTGTCAAAACTTTCCATCATCGACATCCATCTAAAATCATAATTATGGGTAATAATTGGATATCTAACAATTAGGAAAGCCAAGTTATACAATAAAAACTCAACCTACCTCTTGGAAAAAGTTACTATCTGGATATAAGTTGCTAAGGGCTATTCTAAGTGATGACGGGGCAACAGGTTCTCTCCGTGCATCAGTAGATGAAATGTTCAGGGCGGTGAAAATTTCATATAGTGCACAGACGACACATGGATCTCCCACGTGAACATGATCTGATGTCGATCTCCGCAAGAATTCATCACGAAACCGTCTCAAGTGCCACAACGACTGAGGTTATACCAAAGGCAGCAAATGTTTAGCAAGAGAACATAGAAAGCCAAGTTCAACGCAGGTGGGCTGAAAGTGACCATATATCACTCATACAAGAAAAAACCAACCTGTATTATAACATTCAGAAAGCAATTGTATTCACCAACTTCATTCTGCAGGCCTGTACCAAACACATCAGTTTCATACAAACCTTCACTGGAGACCTCATTTAGTGAGACACCATGGTTATTTACTAGCAAAGGTACCCTTTTTACTGTTCTCGAACTTGAAGCCAAGGGCAATCTCTGTTGTGCTTGGTATGTGTCTGAAAAATGACATAAACACACAGTTAAAAAGCTGCTCAAGTAGCCAATCTACTCAAGGGAAGTGAAAAGAAGGATTTTAACACCAAGTCCATGCTTAAACAATACACCCAGTTTCCCGGCCAAGCTGCAATCAATCATAAAGAAGAATGCTATACAACTGAACATAGAAACTACAGCAATGAATACATATATGACAAACTTTGCAATAATTAGGCAAAAAGTTCGTGTCCAATTTATATAAGTAAAACTTATTTCAGCAAATATTGAAGCATTCATATGAAAATATACATGCAACTATGCAGTAGACTACCAAATACACTGATATACATTCACTAGGGTTGAGCCAAAACTACCAAGTTAAATACTGATGCATAACTAGGCAGTTCATCATCCAAAAATTTCTGTGCATTAGCCAATCAGATTAAGCACTCCAATACTTAACCCTTATAACAAATACCCAGAAAAAGAAATTTTGCCCACGTTTGTCTTAAAACAAACTGCAGAGGAGCAGTACATAGTGAATGCAAAATATTCCTTAAATAGATGAAACCAAAATTGTTTTTTTTTTTTTTCCAATAAAAAATTCATAGGTGAAATCATTAAATTACCAGACATGCACTATAATAGTTCTTTTACATTCACCAGTACAACTGACTTGTTTCAAGACACCCAATCCCAAACACAACATTTTTAAGAGTAGCATAACAATAAGAAGCATGCATTAGTAAATGCAGTAAGAACACTACCAAGGCTTTGGCGAACAGCCTTCTTGAGGTCAGCTTGGAACCTTTCTTCATCATCTTCCTCAGCTTGCAGTTGTCTCAAGGTCTTTGTACCTTCCTCTCCAGACATAGAAGCAACTGGTTTCAAAGAAGTACCCATGTCAGCTTAGTTCCCAAAACTTGTACAAGAAAATCAGAAAAACAACTTACCACATAAATACTAATAGTAATACAAATTCGCACCAACATATGGTCTATAACCATCATGGCAAGGTAATCAAAAGAGCATGGTCAATGAATGAATCAGATACAAATCTGAAGGACAAACTGCAAAAACTGATACAAATAGCACACTTTATTCCTTGTATTCTAAAGCTTAACTATGCTTTTCCCCTTTATATGGTATAGATAATATGAAAATGTATGTGGAATGAGTTAACATATAATAATTGCTGTAGTTAACAAAATTAAGCAGGAAATTGTAATTCTCCAAAATAAAACGTGGTATGTGTAATTCTAACACAAACTCACACTGAATTTTGTAATAGTAATACATGGTATTCAGGACAACATTTTGAATAAGCAAAACATAGAGAGGAGAATAAACGACATAATGCAAAGATGCAGACACAAACAACATCCGAAGAGAAACTTCATAGAAAATAAACCAATACCATACGAACAATAACATCAGAATCTGCACAAGAATATACGTGTAGACCTGATATCCAGTAAATTAAAAACCTCCAGCTCAAGCACTATATTGTCAAACCATACTTGTAATGCAGTATCAAAATATCAGTTGCTTCAATATGACATCATGCGGCAGGTGACACAAAGTACATGCAGAAACAAAGAAAGCACTTAAAAGATGTCTAGTTTACTTTTCATATATTAATTTCACATAGACAAGGGATTATGTTATGACATAGCAATTTCTCAAATGCCAGAGTTGTAGTGAGCATGAATTTAGAAAAAGAAGCAAGTGGTATGTAAATGAAAGTTATGATTCCAGTGCACGCATAAATGAATCAAAGAAAATAAATGTTCAACATCAAGACAGTATCATCAAAATCCAGCAATTTGTTTCTACTTTGAAGGCATCCATGTAAAAGTCATATGAAGAAATTAAATAAAATCTCTCCCTTTTTTTCATGTCATTATAAATGAAGTAAGAAAGGAAGTACAATTGACCGCCTCCACAGTTTAAATCTAACCCTCTCCCAATCACCATAGAACCCTTTGTCTATTTTCACACTCTTCTTGGAACCACGTAAACATTAGCACAGAGTTAAGCAATGCAAAATATAACATTCTAGCCCATAAAATGAACAAAGTAAAGTTTACCACTGTCCACAGGCACACCTTCAACACATCTAACTTGCTCTTCCACATTGCCATGAGAGCTTCCAAGTTGAATGTTTTCCTTTTCAGAAGACATGACTTGATACTTATCAAGAAATTTGTTGCTACTCTTATGTCGTCTACCCTTTCTTCCTGTGCGTTGAACATTAGGGAAAAGACCATCCTCTGGGACTGCACCATTAACTAATCCTGCTTAATATGAAAAGATGATGATCTCCCAAGTACTATGGCACAAACTAGAAAAATTCACAGACCTTGTAATATTGCTAACCTTGTTTAAATTTCACATGAGTTCCAGAAGTATTAGAAGCCACTGAGACAGCTGAACCATTGGCACTGCTCATTGGTATGCTACCCAAATTGTTTGCGACCCTGTTCCTTAGTGCCAAATGTTCCTGACAAGAAAGTTTATATGGTATTATGATTATCTAATTATGGTTCCTCTATAAATAACAGCATAAAGCACATCTCAGCATAACATTGACCAACTTCCATCTCATCATATTGAAGGAAAGAGTCACCAACAGAATGCTTACCTGAATATCTAGATCACCGGTTTCCAAATAAGTATCATGCAATCTGTCAGCTTCTTTCTCTGCGTATGCTTGATTAGTTTTTTTATTTTGCTCAGCAAGGTGCTTCAGTTTAGCCTCATTCTCAACCTGTCTTTGATACTCCAAAGTCTCTTGAAGCTTTCTTTCCTCTGCTTCAAGCTCGATTTTTCGTTTAAATTCCTCTTCTTGTTGTTTTAAGTTATCACTATTCACAGAAACAACTTCAGAATCTAGATGGTTACCATCAGAAGCAACTGCCAAAGAACTGCAAGAATACATGCATGAAAATGCACATTAATACAAGACTACCACTTGTCAAGAGAAGAATACATTAGAATAGATAAATGGGAATATGCAAATGCAGAACAGGAGGAAAACATACACTTGCTCAGCATCCTCATCATTAAGCATATGCTTCTCATTTCCACCAGAAGCCTGAAGCAGTAAGAAAACATTAGACCTGAACCATGGAATATGTAACTTAAGTAACAAAAAGTTGAATATTAGAAAAAAAAAAAAAAGTAAACCATACCTTTGAATCCTTGGATTTTCTGAACTCCTTGCTCCTTTTCTTATCCTTGCTTTTCTCCTGTGAATGTCTGGAATTATCGCTTCCTCCTCGAACACCTTTCTTAGAGTCCCGTGCAAGCTCTGCTAAAAAAGCTTCTCCCGCAGCTTCAGATTTCTCATTGGCATCTTTCTCGGCCAGATCCTCCAAGTGTGCCTGAATTTAAACATAATAAATAAATAAAGTAAAAGGGCATCTCAAGATATATACATTTGTCTATAAGAAATAGAACATCAAACAAAATTCAACTAGTTTAATACAAACCCTCAAGTACGATTTCACTAAAGGCAACATTATTGATCGATAATCATGTGCAGACACAGGCTCAAGTTTGAGTTCCAACTGCTGCATCCCAGTAACATTTTGCATGATTCGTGCATCAATTTTGCTTAGCTGCTTGACAAAACAGAACAGTTAAGAATGGAAGGTTAAGAATCAATTCATTATATTGAAGTTGTATCTAAAGCAAACAACAGACCTCTACTGATAATTGTTCCTTCTGTCTCTGAATGGCAACTTCTATGCAGGTGTCCACTTGATGCAGATAATCCTTAGCTCTCCAGTCATCATCTTCACCAGATTCCAAGTCACATAACTGAGAAGTCACACCAGCATAAGTACCCTCATAGCCAAATTGATTGACATCCAGTGCTTCTGCTTCTTTTAAAACATTTGATATAGCATCTAACTCAAATCTACTGCTCTCACTCTCAACAAGTCCTTCTCTTCGCTTTCTAAGGACAGATTCATAGCTTTGATGAACAAATTCAGTGGCAGTCTCCCTCTTCTTACCTTCTTCAAGACAGAGATCCTCCAGAGACTGCAATGCTTCCTCATAGCTTATATGGTCACATTTTCTCTCACAAAGACTCTGCAGGTGATAAAATTCCTTCTCCAGCATCTGGAGAATTTCCAGTCCTTGCTGTGATTTCTCTTCTTTCATGCGTATCCATGATGCCAATTGATCCCCACTTGAGGGGCCTGCAAAGATCCAGGATAGCAGAGCATCAGCATCCTGTACAGACCCATTTCCATTGCGACCATTAGCATTTGCCAGTGCAGCATCTTCTATTGCTGCATCAGCCAATAAATGTTGATCCAGGAGGAGACACGAAGCATCTGCATTAAGAACAATCTTCTCTTTAAACTCAAGAATCTGAGTGGCACCATTCACATTATCCACAAGGGCAGTCTTCTCAGAATATCTAACCAGACCACAAGAATGAGATAAGTCCTGCAAGAATTTAAGGATTTTTCTAAGCTGCGTAGCTCCCAGAAAACAGATGCACATGGGAGTTTGACCAACACCATGATTCAGAAGCTCAGAACCAGAAACCAGACTCTGCAACTCATCCATTGTGAATTGTATCACCTTGGTAAGATGGCTTGCAGCAAGGTACTTATGTCTAATAAGCAGTTCAAATGAAGTATGAATTCTTTCAAGCAACTTTGCCCTCTCGGCATCATCCACTGTTGGCCAACTATCCACAAGGGGATATGCTACAGAACTCTTATTTCCATCACATTCTTTGCACTCAATGCTAGAAACTTTGTCACAATCATTGCCCTCTAGACTACCACAATTGTAACGATTCCCAAAATTTTCCTTATCAGGAGATAAGCCCCATGCATCTTTGAAGCAATCATTACACTCCTCATTATGGTTCCCTGAGTAAAAATCCTCTGAAAACTCCGAGTCCTGGCATTTAGACCGGTTCCCAATCATTTTAACTGCGGCAGAAATATCAAAAGGATTCCAAGAACAGTTAAGGAGCATCTCTATCCACTCATTGTCAATACTCTGTGGCAAAACGTTCTGCATTTCTGGCACGAGGTTCCCCATATGTTCCTGAGCAACATGCTGCATGTGAGACTCTGAATCTGCAAACTTTTCACTACACCTACAACAAACCCAAAACTTCCAAGTCTTATTAACCTCAGCAAATGCTAAAGCCTCCGATAAGACATCACTCACCAATCCATCTTTCAACAAACCAAAATATGCCTTGAGATCACTAACCCTAATCCTAAGCAAATCTTTCTTCGAATCAGTACTCATTGAATTCCAAAACGATCTAATCCAATCTTTCCTTTCAGCTGTGGAACTATTCTTCCTCCTCCTTCTATCTGCTCCTCTTTGTCCACTTCCGGAAGCCAAATCCAGTCCATTCCTCTCTCCCTCTCCTTGCAACAGTGTCGAAGAAGAAGCTGCTTCAGATTTCTGCTGCTGCAACAACCTAGCGGCAGCAACTCTAACCTCAATCTCTTTCCTTCTTTCTTCTGGCGTCTTTGTAGCTTTCTTAATCTCATTAGGCCTTCTCGTTTGCACTAACCTAACCTCCATTGGATCCTCAGTAACTCTCCGAATTGGAATTAATCTAAACTTCTCTTCTCCATTCCCTAAATTCTTCATCCAAGTAGAAATCGAAGCAATATTCGATTTCTGTATCAAAGACCTAAGCTCATTTTGCACGTGCAAAATCCTTGCCTCCGCAGTAGATATTTTCTGTTGACTCTCTTCTTGTAAGCTTTCTTTGGCGGGATCCACCGGATTCTCAATGGCCAACGCGCGTTCGCATTCTTGAACCACTTCTTCGTACTCTTTTCCATCGTTGGCCGCTTCATAAAGTAAATTAGCATAAAAATGAGCAAATTCTATCGAGTTCGGAGATAATTCCACAGCTTTTTTGGCTGAATCGATCGCGTTTTTCAAATGCCGGTGTTTGGCGTTAGGGTCATCGATGATGGACGCCACTTTCACGCAGACCGTGCCTTGAACGCGGTGGATTAGCGCCGCGTGAGCCGAGTTCTCGTGATGAGTGCACGATTCTTTCATCAATCGAAGCGCTTTCGTATGGTTGCCACGTCGGAGAGCCGTTAGGGCTCGCTCGCACTCTACCTTAACCGCCGCATGCGAAGACGAATCATCCGATTCAACGGGAACCGCAAATAGCTCGATTTTCGCATTATTCCCAGTCAGCTCGGCTTCAGCTGAATCGTTAAAAGCACCCATCGGCGTTATGGCAGCCACCGGCGGCGACTGTTTTGAGCGTGGAGCAACGTTTTTCTTTTTGTGCCCCATCTATTTTTTATCTCAATCGAATTATCATAAATAAATCTTTTTTTTTTTTCTTTTTTGTCCTTTTTTAAATCGCTTTATTTCGAGATAAAGAGATTGGAAAGGAGGAAAGGAGTAGAAATGGACTTACTGGGAATGGGAGGGGTAAAGTTGGAAATTAAGAGGGAAAGATAACGGAAAAAGATCGGCGGTGAAATCGAAGCGACTAGCTGAAAGTAGGGGAAGAATCGTTTCGTCTTCTTCTTCTTCTTCTCTTTGTGTGTGTGACAGACGGACAGACAGGCACCTACCCATAGAAGGAAGAGATGGTGAGGCTTTGATTTAAGAGAAGCTAAAATGGAGATTAATCATTTTTAATTTATACTAATAATAATAGCTTTTATACTTTTTTATTATATGCTAAGCCCTACTTTTATTTTTCTAATATATAATATATGCTAATAAATTATGTTTGGCTTTTTTCTTGTATTTTTTTGTGAGTTTATTAGGAAACATTAGTGAATGATTAGTGGATAAAAAGATATTTTAGTTATTAATTAATGATGAATGTTTGGGATTACTTACATATGCAAACCACGGAAGTTTGATTAATATTTTGTGAACGAATTTGATTTTTATAAATTTTTTATCATTTATTAATGTTAATAAACAATCACAAATAACATATTAAATTAATTAATTAAATAAACAGATTATAAATATAATAAAATTCATTAATATTTTATTCATTTATATTTTTAATTATTGGATTTAAAGCTAAAATTACTAATGAAACTTTGGTTTAGTGATATGGAGGAAATTTTAAAATTATGAGATTTATATTTAAATTCAATTGTGTATAGATACGGTTTAACTTTATATTGAATTTATGTTATAATTTAGTTTGTTTGTTTGTTTGATTATTCATTAATTTTTTATAGAGTATATATTTGATCCACTTCCTTTATATAATGTCCACCACCCCATTGAGGAGGAAATATTAATTTTTAAAATAAATAATACAAAAAATTAATATTTATTAAAAATTTTGTTCATTAATGAAGAATATAATTTTTTTAATAAATAAATATAATATTTATTTATAATTATAATTTATAATTTTATTAAAAAAATTGAAATTAAAGGACAGAAAGAATATGAAAAGGAATATTTAAAAAGGAAAAGTGGGAATAAATTAAATTTTTTGTTAGAGGGTGAAGGGTTTCACACCAACGAAGGGCAGGTGTGAGTAATTTATGTCTTTAAATTGTATAAATAAATAAATAAATAAAATAATATCTTCTCTACTACTAATTAAATATAATATTTGATTTTTTTTTTTTAATGTTTGACTCCTTATATTCTATTGAATATAAAAAAAAAATGGTCCTTATATTCTATTGAATATTAAAAAAATGGTTAAGTAAAAATATTACAAACCGGAAAGATGCTTACGTGTTGTGTCTCAAAATTCTTTTGTTTTTCCGTTTCTATTCATCGTATCTTTTTTGTAAAATTTATTTAAATAAAAAATTAAAAAAATAAAAGGTAAAAAAATTATAATAACAAGTAAATATTGTAATTGGCCTCCTATTCTCAAAAAAATTTTATCTAAGAAAAAACTCAAAAAAATAAAAAAATAACTGAAAAAAGGAAAAAAAATAACAAAAGCTCACAGATGGTGTCACATTGGCACCGCATATTAAATTTAAAATATTAATTTTCAAAATAAAAATAAAAAATATTTTTATTAATATAATACATATATGTGTAAAATTAAATAAATATTAAAATATATATTTGTATATATACTTCAAAATTAATTGAGATAAAATATCATAAAGACACTTTCAGTTTGATTTTATTTCTTTTAAAAAAATTCAATCCATCTTAATTCAATTTTTATTTTAAAAAAAAATAATCTTTTATTGAATCGAGATGAATCAAAATTTATCAAATATAAATTATTTTAAAATTTAATTAATTAAGATTTTTCGTTATAAAATTTATCTAATAAAAAAATATAAAAAAAGAAATGATGCAAAATTCAAATTGGGTGCCACGTGAAAACTTTCATTAGCTTTTTTACAAAATTACTTTAACTAAAAAGATATTTGAAAACAAGTAGGTAAAAATGAAAAGAAAGCTAATTGGGGTGTTATATAAGCATGCTAATTGAGTAGGGGCCATCAAGTAAGAATTATTTTGTCGTTCTTATCCATCACTTCTTTTCAAAATTTATCAAATTGAAAAACACAAAAAAGAAAAAAAAAATAAGCAAATTGGAATGCTACATAAACACCAACATTGATTTTTTTTCACAAAGTTTATCTAAATTGAAAAATTAAAAAAAATAAAAAATTGAAAAAAAGCAAAAAAAAAGAAAAGAAAGAAACATAAAGTAACACGTTAAGAGCTTGAATAAGGATCAAACAAAAGTTAAAATGAGTAAAATTTATATAATTAATTGATTGATAAAATTTATCTTAATTACAAATAAATATAGTATTTTTATTAAATTAAGATATTAAATAATAACTTTTATTAATATAATACATATATAATTAAATAAATAATTTAAAATATAATTTAATATATAACCAAAAGAAGGCGAAACACCATAAATCTGTCTCTAACTTGACCTTAATTTTCAAAAAAATTCTCAATTCGATCCTAAATGAAAAACAAAATCAGATCCGAATGAATCAAATTTCATATAATACAAGTTGTTTATTATCTGTATCTCTATTGACTTTTTTAAAAAAAAATCAATTATGGATTTCTTTTATTGTTATTTATCTTATTAAAAATTAAAAAAAAAACTAAAAAATGCATGGTATTTTTTCAAAAAAAATCTAATTAAAAATAAAAGAAAATGTGAAAAGTACAAAAAAAAAAAAAGTGGAATTACCGCATGACATCAACAATGATAAACTTTTCTTACAAAATTTATATAATGGATTTATGTCTCTAATTTTTATTATACTTTACTTTTTCTTTTTTCTCCTTTATATTTAATATTATTTTTTGTTATTTTTTATGTATGGCCAATTTGATATTATTTATTAAAAATATCATTTTTTAATATTCGTTTCTTATACCCTAAAACTAAAAAAAATAAAGGCAAAAAAAAATCAAATCCAAATGACATTAACACCTTCGTTAATATTTTTTTGTTATACAATTATCTAATTAAAAAGTACGAAAAATTAGAAAAAAATTATTTTTAATTAATAATATAAAATTGGCCCCACTTATAAAAATAAAAATATTAAAATTTTTCATTAAATATAAAAATAAAAAAAGGAAGAAAAACTTGAAAAAGACAAAAAGTAAAAATAAAAATAAAATTGTAGAAAGTTTGGTTAACACGAACATAAGTAATAATAAGTTTTGTGAAAATTTTATATCATAAATTTTCAAAATAAAAACTAAAAAAAGAAAAGACCAAAAAATATGGATGTGACATTGGCACTGTAAACACCTTATTTAGTTCAGAGCTTAAACCAAGTCCAATTGTCTAATTTCTTATATTTTCTTTTTATATCTTGTTTGTCTTATTTATTTATTTATCTTTTTTTATGTTTTAGTCTTTAATTTATCTAGTTTTAAATTTTTATCATAAATCATATCAATAAAATTTGTAGAGTAATTTGACCACTAATCAAAGATGATCTCAACAATTAAGACTAAAATATGATCTCTTCAAATATTAAAGAAAAGTTAAAAGAAAGTAAATCAGAGAATCAAAGTCAAATTTACTTTGAAATTTTTGAGGGATTTTGAAAATCAAGGAAAATCGAGACAATTATAAAAATTAATTAAACAAATTTTAAAGAGAATCAAGAAAAAATCATTTTAGAGCATAATCATATCTAAAATCCTTTTCATTTAATGCATATCCCTAAAATTCCTAGCAAAAGGTCTTATATAAACACCAATCAACCACACACAAAAAAAAGGGAGGGGAAGAGAAAAAAAATTCTAGGGATCTTAATTTTCTGTTTTTTTAATTTTGGAGAAAAATCATTCAAGCAAATTCTGAGATTTTTTTTCTTTGGGTTTTGTGATATAATTTCATTTTGAGTTTGATTTGATTTGCTTTTGGGTTTCCTGACTTTGGGTTTTAATTTTTGTGTTTGATTTCATAATCTGTTGAGTTTTTTTTATTTTTACAAAGGTTTTCTGTTGGCTTCTGATTCTGAGATTTCTATTAAGTTTTTAAGAATCTGAAAGTTTTTCTGAGTTTTTTTGGGTTTAGGATGAACTTTTTGATTGAAATTTGAAGTTCTTACATGAACCCAGTAACTCACGTGAAGATTTATGTTTCAAGCTCGACTCGATCGCAGATTTTCTTTTATTTTTCTTTTATCTTATTTTTTATTTTGATTTTATTCTATTTTACTTTTTCTATTCTATTCTCATTTTATTTTTACTTATTGTTATTATTATTTTCATCTTTAATTATTATTTTACTCATTACTTTAAATTGAAATTTTATTATTTATTTTAAAAAATGTCTTTATGAATTTCATTTTATTTATTTATTTATTTAAAAATAATAACCAAAAAAATATTTCTAAAATAAATTCATGAATCCTACCAAATTAGTGGAGAATTTTTTATGAATTTAATTTTTTTATTAATTTTACCAAATATTGGAGAATCTCATAAATCAATTTTTATAAAAAATTATTACTTCATTTGGGTTTTGTTTTGTTTTGATCTGTTTGTAATTTTTTTATTTTTTTTGGATATGGTTTATTTCAAACTCAATGATTTTTTATATGGTTTATTTCATATTGAATGGTCATGGTTGTACTTTAAAGCCCTATTATGTGAATAACATCAACTATCACAGCATACTACATATTTTCAATAGAAACAAGTATATTATTATAAGGTTATTGCTTTGGATTGCAAACTACATATTTGAGATGTTATTTTTAATAGAAATAAGTGGTATATGGATATTGCATATCTGAGATTGCTTTGGATTAGTAATTGGAGATTACAACATATTAGTGATACTTAACATTAAAAAATAAGTTCAATATTTGTATATGAAAAAATTACTTAAGTCCTCAATTGTAGTAGGATTGACATGAAGGTATGAATTGGTATAGTCCCTTAATAAGTGTGCAAACAGATCTAGAATCATTTTGTTTAATAACAAGAGCAGATTATACCATAAATGGCTTTTTTTTTTTTTTTTTGAAATTCAGGCATCTGAACAACACCCCTAACTCGACCAAATTTTCACACTTATTTTACCTTGAGACTTAGCTTTCTCCCCCTAAGATTAATACCTTAATTCCCATTATCAAAGCCATGCACCTTATTGTAGAACTTGTCATTCCCTATTCTTTCTCTTGAAATATTTAAGGTTACCTTTTTTAGGTGGT